CGTGTATTCAGCATTTAGCTTGAATGTTGGAACAGGGAAGTTATAAATGGCCTTAAGTAGCAGAGAGTGTTTTTACCATGTATCTACTATATAAATACCTCTCCCAGAGGAGATAAACTCCCAAGTGCAGACTTGCCAGCACATCCTGACTCCAAGACATGTGCCCTACTCAAGCCCTTCAAAAACTGGACTCTCAGCAATTTTGTATGATAGTTTTGTGTAAACTACAGCTGCTGAATTAATGATCTAGACAGTAAAATGCCATGTTACCTCTATTTTTCCAACCAGGACTTCTTTGTACTGTGCTGTCATTTCCTGAAGCACTTCCAAAGGACTTGAAAGATTTCTTACCTTCCCCGAAAGACTGCATGCGTCAGACGGGGAAACCAATGCAAGCAGACAGTATAGTACCGCACCCAAAGTCACCCAGAGGTTTGTAGTAGGAGAATCCAGATCTCCCTGCTCCTAAAAGACCAAACAGGTAGATTATTCCACATTTTAAACCATCTCAGTGACTATGCTACCTAACTTAATTCCTTCCTAATTTTTCCTCACGGTTTAAGTAATTTCTTGGTCCATACATTGGGAGTAAGCCAAGTTTGGATAAAGCTGCTATGGGGTCTCTTCACAGCTAATCTTTTCATCATCTTTATGTATCATTTGAGAAAGCACAGCCACCACCAGCACAAGAGACACTGCATCGTCCTTCCTTGCTGAACCACTGAGATATGGCTGTTCCTCAACACCTCCTCCCTCCAAGAGAAAACTGCTTAAACTGTTATTACTAGATTTGACATAGGAATCCCAGCAGTATGCAAAAAGAATGCAAGTCAGGCATTATCCCACCAGTTTTATTATTCATCTACCCAGTTCCTTCTTTTAAAAATAAAATTATTTTATGTTGGAGAAAAGTGTTACCTTTTTGAAAGAGCTTTAGTCAAGTTAATCTTTTCTCCAAGACTGTTTTGTCAAATTAATTGCTTAAATTACTGCTTCCTGTGACAGCTTTCTCTGAAGGATGCGTCCTGTAACAATAACTTTCACACTGCTTTTTCTAGTTATGTGATGCCTGCCTGGATATCTTTGTCACTGAGAAAGTATGGTATATCATTACATGTGGATTTTTTTTTTTTTTGATAGATGTCAATGTGTAACATTTTAAAATCTATTGGAAAATTCCCTCCTTCCCCACCAATGCTGTTACGAGGATTCCCCTCTCATTTTCAGTTACACAGTGGTATTGTTGTTTACTGAACAGAATTTGTCTATCTGTTTAGACTTAGCAAATGCAAAACAACCTCCCTCTGTGAAGAGCTTTTTCTTTACATACTCATGATGGGGCATTACGGGTCCTGGCAGTATTAACTGAGTTAATTGGTAGATGAGCAAAAAAGCCCTGATTCAATTGCAGACTAACATCAGTATAACCAAGTGCACTTCAAACATAACTTCAGCTGGGGAATCAAGACACAAAGGTCTCTTCAGATGGCTCCTAAAATCATTGCCATCACCTACCTCCATGATTTTTGAAAAGTGCATCTCAAACTGTATCTGGAGTTCAGCCAAAAATGGACGCCACAAGATCATTCTTTGTGCAAATCAGCCAAAAACCTGTGCAACAGGTTTGCGTTCCTTTTCAGGAACGCAACTCACCTCTAATTGTCCTTTCCATACAGCAGTATCAATAAGCACACAGAAACTGGAGAAAGGCTAACATTCTGTGGCTGTTTCAATCACGAGCAGCATCCCAAATAACACACTTTTTGGCTCTGATGAAGGCTAGTATCAGAAGGCTAGGTCCTCGAGGAACAGCATCAGCCCACCCATGCCAGTGGAGCTGCATTTACAACAGCTGAGGAACTGGAAACTTCTTAGTCCTAATGACTCAGTAGCTCAAAGAAGGGAAGTGCTGCAGGATTGTATGAACAACAACAAAAAGCCCACCAAGTCCTTCTGAAAGTCTTGCCCCTTCTGTTGTAGCTTCTTGAAAGGCAGAGAATTGCACTACTAGAAGACAGTCAAAATTAGCCAAGTTTAGCAATCTTGGAATCAAAAGCGAAGTTGACCTTATGACTTGAGTACAACCGTCTATAAGTGACTATCATCTGAAGCCAAAACTTACGGATGTAAAAGTGCAATTCTCTACAGCTTTATTTGGGAGGATAACATTTATTAGCTGTAGTAGACTCAATTCTCCACATGGTGTAGCCCTTTGAGAAGAGGCTGAGCCACAGTATGAAGTTACGGATTTAAAAATATACCTCTCAATTTTTAATCACCATTTCTATCAATCTATCCATTCAGCATCTTGCTAACATTTCTTTTGTGGTGGGTCGTTATTGTTCAGAAGAGTCAAATGCCTACAACCTTTAGCAGAATCTCTTTTCTCTAGGTCAGAGTTTAGTTCTTAGACCAGACATGAGCGGGTTGGCTATACAAGACTTAAGTGTTCAGCAGAATCATAGAATCATAGAATCATTAAGGTTGGAAGAGACGTCTAAGATCATCGAGTCCAACCATCAACCCAACACCACCATGTCCACTAAACCACGTCCCTAAGCGCCTCATCTACCCGTCTTTTAAATACTTCCAGGGATGGTGACTCAACCACTTCCCTGGGCAGCCTCTTCCAATGTTTAACCACTCTTTCAGTACAGACATTTTTCCTCACATCCAATCTAAACCTCCCCTGGAGCAACTTGAGGCCATTTCCTCTCGTCCTATCGCCAGTTACTTGGGAGAAGAGACCAACACCCACCTCGCTACAACCTCCTTTCAGGTAGTTGTAGAGAGCGATGAGGTCTCCCCTCAGCCTCCTTTTCTCCAGGCTAAACAACCCCAGCTCCCTCAGCCGCTCCTCATAAGACTTGTTCTCCAGACCCTTCACCAGCCTCATTGCCCTTCTCTGGACACGTTCCAACATCTCAACATCCTTCTTGTAGTGAGGGGCCCAAAACTGAACACAGTACTCGAGGTGCGGCCTCACCAGTGCCGAGTACAGGGGCACGATCACTTCCCTGCTCCTGCTGGCCACACTATTTCTGATACAGGCCAGGATGCCGTTGGCCTTCTTGGCCACCTGGGCACACTGCCGGCTCATGTTCAGCCGGCTGTCAACCAACACCCCCAGGTCCTTTTCCGACAGGCAGCTTTCCAGCCACTCTTCCCCAAGCCTGTAGCGCTGCATGGGGTTGTTGTGGCTGAAGTGCAGGACCCGGCACTTGGCCTTGTTGACCCTCATACAGTTGGCCTCAGCCCATTGATCCAGCCTGTCCAGGTCCCTCTGCAGAGCCTTCCTACCCTCGAGCAGATCAACACTGCCGCCCAACTTCGTGTCATCTGCAAACTTACTGAGGGTGCACTCAATCCCCTCATCCAGGTCATTGATAAAGATATTGAACAGAACTGGCCCCAATACTGAGCCCCCTGGGGAACACCGCTCGTGACCGGCCACCAACTGGATTGAACTCCATTCACCACCACTCTTTGGGCCCAGCCATCCAGTCAGTTTTTTATCCAGTGAAGAGTATGCCTGTCCAAGCCATGAGCAGCCAGTTTCTCCAGGAGAACGCTGTGGGAAATGCTGTCAAAGGCCTTACTGAAGTCCAGGTAGACCACATCCACAGCCTTTCCCTCGTCCACTAGGCGGGTCACCTGGTCATAGAAGGAGATCAGGTTGGTCAAGCAGGACCTGCCTTTCATGAACCCGTGTTGGCTGGGCCTGATGCCCTGGTTGTCCCGCACCTGCCTTGTGAGCGCCCTCAAGATGAACACAGGAGAATAAACACCTGGAAGAATGTAAAAGGAGGACAGGATGGGGGAGGAAGGGAAACATCTTAATAAACAAAGCAAGAGGTTTTTTTACCTCCCCCTTCACAAATATGGTTTGAAACCAGAAGGAACAATTATGGTTAAGTTTTAACTTCTGCTGCTAAGGTACCAGTGCAGCACGTTTTACCCAAACGGTGTACACAGTCCCCATAACCACTTACAGAACAATCCCAAGTTTTTGCTATTTAGCTTTCTCAATTTTTGTTCAACTGCATTTGTCCACTGAACTGTGTGGGTAGTAGGCCACATCATCTACACTGGCCTGACATTTTTGGAGTAGCATGGTGCTCAGCTTTTAGCATCTTTACAGGAAAGAAATTTTCAGTAGTTCCTTGTGGTATACTTTTTTTTTTTAATTTTAAGATTATACTCACTGTTTCATGCTGAAATGTCTTTCCTTAATAAGATTTAATGATTTTTGTCAACTTGAGTCCTAAATTAACATCTGTAGTATTTTGAGCGTTATTTATCCCCTTCTTACTGAGGTAAGAAAACAAATTATAAAAACACAAGTATTCCACGTGAGTGATTTTTGGAATCATGCACAAATAAAGCAGCAACTACCAACTGCAGCATTGAATACTTGAAAACTGAGAAGGCTAAAATACAAGCTTTTAAAAATATTACATATCCATAAGCTATTTAATGGTAAACATGTTTGACTATGCAATATCAGTAGTCAGGAATTGTTTCAGATATTCTTTGAAGATGTGAAAGGAATTCACTTTACACAGGTAAAGCTAAACAAACAAGAAATCAGATAATGCTTTGTGGAATAAAAGTAGGATTATTCTGAAATAACTCTTCTCCTTTAAAATGTATAGCAGCTATATTATATTCCAGAACAACTTTTACCTGTAAATCAGCCTGTAGATCTTTAATCACATACACTTTTGAGGTGAAATACTTAAAAATATTTTCTTGAGTATTATACTAACATTCATTCAGTCTCTTAAACATTTTAAACAAAAGCTAGTACTGGGAAAAAAATCTAGTTGCTAGGATGCATAATTTGAAGTTGTATGAAAAATGGAAATGTACTTAAAGACAACCTGAATCATTTAGTCAGAGCCACACTATACAGCAAAAATGGCTCCCCCACCCCATTCTTTCCCCTGCCCCCAAAGAAGACTTCTAGAAGAGACTTCTGGTTTTGCTTTTTTAATAAGTCCATAAAAGCCAAGGATTTATAAAAAGCACATGCAAGTCCATTCATATTAACAGATCAGCAAGAAGCTGCAAACTTTCCTTACTACAGGAACTATGTCTTTAAGATTGGAAGCAGTAAACAAAACAGGACACCAGAACTGACAGCTAAGGTGGCAACAGCAGCTTTGCTGACAGCTGAATTCCTGGTTTGTTCCTGGGGCATAGGGATACGTGGGGGCATGACACCCAGACCCAATTAAAATTCCCTATAGCTTTGGAGAGAACAGCAAAATTGGTTTGTCTTTACTCTTTTACTGATCCATTTTAAGTCATACCAACAGATCTGCAATTTTTGAAGTGTTTTGTAATTGCAGTGTAGATTCCTGGTTTCATCCTTCTCCTGAAAGAGGGAATGTAAGTGAATATAAATGGGATCAGAAAAAGAGACGTCAGGAAAAGGTGCAACAGTCCCACCTTCAAATGCCATGAAGAAAAGAGACAGATTCTTGGACTGTCTGCCCTCTCCAACTCCAGCCTGTGAAAAGCCAACTGACCAGTTACTGAAACAGCGGGGCACCACTTTTTACAAATCTCTACAGATCCTTTAGCACCGAGCAAAAACAAGAGGAAAAGCCACTGAAGTATCTTGAAGGCTTTCTTTACGAGAACAAAGTAACAGTTTGTGTTCTTGCTTCACCATTCATCTTTCAATATTTGTACTTCCACTTGAAGTAAACAAGATACCGTCACACGGAACAAAAAAAATCTAGAAGTAGCTCAGCTTTCCCTTTTCTCAATAGCTTAGGGATAGGAAGGACATTAGGCATATTTAACTGCTCCTAGTTTAAGCCATACAGTAATTTAACGTTGCTGCAAGAATATGGTTTTCTTCTCAAAATCTATCCATTTTTCCCCCCTTAAGATTTCCTTATGTAGCACAGTAGTACCTTGAAGACAGACCCAATGTAGTACGTGGGTTTGCTACAAATAATCCAATCCTTCCTTCCTTCCTTGGAAGAAAATGGGTATTAGAACTTGTCTGACTGTCAGGAAGACTGAGATTTTCTCTATCTACAGAATAGGTATGACCTGTAACTTCTGTATAAGCTCCAATTATGTCTCTGGCCAAAAGTGATTATGTTTAGTAAAATACAGTGAAACCATTCCCCCTCTGCCAACTAACACCTCAGTGTTTGTCAAGGCATAAAATTCTAAGTGCTAACAGGGAACTGGGAAGTTTTTGACATAAATTACAGTGAGACCCATGAACATTTCATGGCATTTCAATTATCAGTCCACAACCTGTGACAAACATAACACTTACTGTCACCTCAGTGGTAAGAAATAGCATACCAAGCAATTGCCAGTGGTGTATGGGACTGTAGCCGAATTGACCATTATGGTGTAAATGGGTCTTCCGTGATAGAACACGTTTTCCATAATTATCAACTGTCCGTCATCTCAACATTCTGCCAGGCTTTCCATTTTTTTGTGATTAAACCACCATGGCAGCAGAATTATTTCCCAAGTTAATCAGTGATGTAAGTTACACTGCATATGCTAGATGCTGGCAACAATGAAAGCACCGATATTAAAACAAAATTCTCACTACTGATGAAAGTATCATACAATGATTTTGATGCACGTGTCGGTACAAGTGAATCTCTCATGCTGACCACTATCATCTCCTCCTCCTCTTTTTTTTTTTTGATGGTACACTGCGTGCCCCATGACAATTCAAGTAACATACAGAAAATTGAGGAAGTTCTTGGAATTTCACAGAAATCAAATAAAAGTCTTACAACCCACAGCAACATCCATGGTTCTTATTGCAATAAAAAGTCAGTATGTATTATTCATCCCATCTATGTTAAGATTTCTTTTAAAGAAAAGGTGCTGATATTTTGTATTGTTTCATCTATGAGGTAGATGGCACTTTCATATAAATAGTGTAAATCAGAAATTAAGTTAGCTCTGAGCCTGCAACAAGCACTGCTTATGGTTGCAGTCAGGCAACTGCTGACTGCTCAAGTCAATTATTAAATCATAAATACAAAATAATTCCTCATTTTAAAAGAGAAACAGTAAGTCCTTGAAAGAAGGGTGGTGGCCAAGCACACAGACAGGTGCCTTCCCTTGACAAAGGTCAGCGGAATTCTGGCTTCAGCCTCCAGACACCTTCACCATTCGGGCTCCTATGGAAGGTGCAGAGATTGCGGAGAAGTTCTCTAAAGACGCAGGACTGTGCCACAGGCAGTTTGGACTCAAATTCCTGCAGTAGCTCCTGAGTGCTAGCCTCGCCGTTCACGCGGGCCTGGAACGCTATGAAGTTACGCATATCCACGAGCAGTTCATCGTATTCTGTTGAACCTGGGGCTGGGGTGGGTGCTTGCTGATGATTCTCATCTCCCTCATTCCCTGTCTGTTGTGGTAAAATAAGGTGGTTTCTTGCCCTCATCTTAGCTAATAAAGAGGAAGAGTCTAGCGCACCGGATGATGATTCTCCAGATTTTCCATCAAAGTGCCCATTGGAACTACACTTCTTTACATTTTCTTTCTGTATTGTATCTGCATCCTGCAAATAAACATACAGACCATGGAGAAAGTCAGATTTTGAGATCCACAGAATCTGTTGAACAAAATCTGCCTGCTGTTTAGACTTAAATAACAAACATGAACACTCAGAAGCTAGTCATCTGAAATACACAATAAAGAGGTAATATGTTCTGGTCTCAACGTTAGAACTTAGGAAGCGAAAGAAAAGCATTGCTGGTCTTGAGACAGATAAACCAGACCATGCTGCAATTTGTGACTGCTGTATCTAATTACACTTCATCAAGATGCTACATCAAAACATGAAAAATCAAATTCATGGGTGACTAAAAATTCTAGAATTCTACATAATCATATGACAAATGGGTATGAGACACATCTACAGTATAAATCAGATTTATTGCATAAATCAGAACATTTCACATATATCAGCTATTAGAAGAGAAACATTAGCTTGTGTCTCTTACCTTGCACTTCTTTGCAGGTGATACACAAGTGGAATGTGAAGAAAGCAGCATGGGGTTTCTTTTTTGACCAAATCGACTTCTAAAAACCCACAAAAGAATTAACTCCATAAAACATCCTTCCCAAAATGATTAGGATAGTTTTAGCCAAAGTTTTAGGGTTCTCAAGAGCCCTCTGCCAAACTCTCTCCTCTGCTGTGCAACAATAATGCTTTCTTTGTACTTCAGAATGGACCTTCTAGGCTTATAATATGCCTTCATGTCTTTATTAAATATAAAACATGAAACTCCACTTTGATACATGTTACTGCAAATACCAAGTGCAAAAAAAAAAAGAGAAATCCATAGCATCTTAAGGAACTCTTTTATTTTTGGAAAAGCAGTGTGAGAATTGAACTTACTTTATTCCTGATGGTGCACCTGAAAGACCACTCATGCCTGTCCAGGTTGGCACACCAGAAGCAGCTCCTAAACATCGCTGTCGAGAGACTTTTAAGGCTCTTAAGGCATCCTGAGCCACTCTGTTTGCTTCTGCTTCCACCAGCACGTGATCTGCACTGGAAGCTTCCATAATAGCATCATGCTTCATAACACTGTGTACCCCTAAAAAACAGAAGAAAAGGTGAAGGAGGACATCTGTTAATTTACATGGTTATCTGTAAAATTAAATATTCACCATTTAAGTGAATGCCACAATCACATTCTTCCTTTTTCAGGTTGATTATATTCAGCACTTCAGTATAGTCGTTTCTAACAAGAGAACCCCCTTCTATCAGTTAAGCAATCAATTTGACAGCAAGCCACTTCTGGTGTGCTGATGAGATCATTATTCACAACAGACTTGGCAATTATGTGGGTAAATCCATCATTTCTATTGTTACGGACAGGACAGACAGAAGTGAAACCCTTGTGTAAATGAAGGTTGGTTACATCCTTATTTCCAGAAGAAACACTGCATTACTTCTATATCCAGAAGCGTTTCTGGAAGGCTGCGGATCTCTCTGAAATGTTTGTGCCAAGGTAATGAGCACATTCATAACCAGAGCATTTCAACGATGAACATTTTAATGTTTCACTACAGTAACAGAATAGATAAAACACGTTTCTCTAACCATTAGAGTAACAGAACTGCTCCTTCCCTCACTTGCATAAGTTTTATATACCTCTGTTTAAATAGTCTGACACTGTTGAGCAGCCAAATAACAACGGTTACCTGATTTTTTGAAAAGTTTCTCCAAGACGTAATCATCATTTTTCTTTGAGTCTTCCTCCTTCTCTTCACTGTTCTCCCTTCTGTATCGCTTTTGTTTCACAAGATGAGGAACGCGCTCTCCTTCAAATTTGGCATCTTTGTGATGTTTCTTTTTAGATTTATCTTTGTGGCTCTCATGTGACAGAATATCCACCCTGTGCTTTGTTTTTGAGGTACGTTTATAATGACTATTATCTAATTGCCCATCTTCAGTTTTAGCAACCTGCTTTTCCCAAAAGCCAGCTGCACCACATATAAGGCTAAAATCTCCCTTGACATTTGCATTAGCTGCTCCATGTACTTCATCAGCCACCACGGTGTTCAGACATTTGGCATTCTCTGAAGACCCCGCATCACCTAGCAATGACTGGGACATAGATTTGTCAGCTCTTTCCAAGCTTTCCTCCTTGCTTTTATTCAGTGAATTTATATCAGTAGCAGCTTGTGCATTTTCTTTTGCATAGCTATTTTGGTCAAAGGCTTCCAAATTTCCTTTGGTTTCCTCACTTGTCTCTATTGCTTTAGAAGAAGAATTTGTCATGTGGGTGGTTGAGTAGGAATTGGATGACTTGCTGTACTTTGGTGAGCTGCTTTCTGTAAGATGGAGATCACCTTTAGAAGTGTCATTATCAGGTGGCTTTTCAAGTTTCCGTTTCAATTGGTGTTTTGGGACTTGAACATCTGAACCAGTACCTGAGGGATGAATGAAATTAGTATCCATTTATCAAACACTTCAAACATTTTTTCTTTTGTACAAATAGAAATAAATGTGTACCTGCAAAAATTGCACTTGTTTCTGTCCCCTGAGACACATCTGGGCTGCTCAGAGTAAAAAGTTCATAAAGGTCATTGGATTTGAAAAAGCGCCTCTGCTTAGGGTCTTTCAGCACTCTGTTCGTTAAAAACTGTTTGAAGATTTGTCTGAAAAAGAAAAAAAGTACTTTGTGCATGAAACAATGTCTAGCTATGTTTAAGTACTGAATACAGTACTTAAACAGAAAACTGTATAAGCACAAATGTTACCCTGCAGAACAATTAAGCAGTGGGAAGATGATGTCAGTTTCCAGAAGACAATTTTGAGTTAGTAACTTTCAAACAACCAACTAAATTGTTAAACACAGGGATTTATTGTTTTGCAACAACCCCATAACACAACAGGTAACCACCATCCTGAAACATCCTATGAGGCATCTCTTAACTAAGCAATAAATAACTTCACAGCTAGAATTTTTTTTGTCCATTAAAATTGAAAAGCTTGCATATATTACAGTAAAACTATCAAAAAGCTCCTGAAAGAAAAACAAGAGCTTGTTAAAATGACAACGTTTTAATGGTTCAATTGGTTGGAGGAATCAAAAGCAGCAGAGTAGCTCAGTCTGATGGTGATGACTGGATGACAACCACTGAAAAGGTAAATCAGACGTGGTTTAGAGGAAGGGAAAAAAGAGCCCACCTGCAGAGGACTGAAAGGAACACATCTGAGGGAGAACTAAGCTGCAAAAACTCTTCTAGTATGGGTAAATCTACTTCTATGCCATGTTTGTACTACATAGCTTTTGATTGCAAGTTCTAGGCACTATTTTCCTGTACAAAAAATACACCCCTAAATAAAGCTGGAAATCAGATCTCAAGAAGTGTTTTTATCATGGTTTTGGCTCTGCTGGCATTAAGCAGGGAAGCTATTTTTAAATGCAATTGGCAAAAACTAAGTTTAAACATAGGTGCCAGCTACTGTAGTGCACCCATCAGAAGACACTAAAGTTTTTAAGAATTAACTGAGCTTCATAGCTTCCTGCAAGGATGATCACATACGTGCGGGGAAGAAAACACAGGCAAAGCGAAAAGACAACTTGCTTAAAGTTCAAAGTCTATTGCACTGTTCTGGAAATAAATGAATTCCTGATGGCTATCCTGACCCTTAGAGCCCACTTCCTTCATGTGGTCAGTGTTGTTCAAACAGAAGTACGCCAGAGGGACGCAAGCCAACCAACAGCGGATGCTTTGTGTCCCTGTGGTAAAACAGATTAAAAAAGGCACTCAGTAAGTGTAGGTATTTCATTGTTTAGAGCTTTTCATTCACCTGCGTTTTCAAAGAGGATATTCCAGTTCTAAAGAGTAATGCCTAGGCAGAGGATTCCCGTGTACATTCATTTGGAATTCATGTGAGTGAAGCTAACTACTGAGAAAGCTGAATGGGAAAGCAAACCAAAAAGATGTCATTGATTTCGAAATACAAGCATTTTAAGGCTTTAGCTACATTTTGGAATAAATAACATGAAAATGACTGGTGGTTCTTGGGATTTAATTCTCCCACTTTGGAATGATTTGGGAATAAAATCAAATTGGGTTTGCAGAGTAGTAAATGGATGTATGTACCACATACATCTTTATACATCCTAAGGACAATATACAGAACTTGTTGATTTCAATTTGCATTTCAGGCTTATTGAGTCTCATGTTCTGAGTAAGGGGCTCATTTTTTCCTGTCTATGCCTCATACTCTCTCATTTACAGTGAATTCTGGATGTGCTGGACACAGCTGCTGGAACAGATTGATGAGGTATATTTAGCATGTGGGTCTTGGAGCCAGAGAGGCAGCAGCACAGCCCTGCAGCTGGGAGTCTAATATTAGAAGAAGGCCCATTTCTCAGCAGAAATTTTTAAAAGTTTTCCGTGACGTGTCCATCGTGACCAAGGTTGGGGGTTACAAGCCATGTATCCACATGCACAGGTATGTCACTGTTACACCACCACAGATTTGCTGCAAACATTTTCTTGAGCATACGGCTGTATCCAAGGAATCGTTCTCACTGACCTGTGGTATATCTTCTCTTCAATAGTACCCGCAGTGAGAAGCCTATATACAGTCACCTGTTTCTTTTGGCCTATTCTCCAAGCACGTTCCCGAGCCTGAAACACAAAAGGTTTGGTTACCAGACATTAGCCTCTTAGACATGTGTTTGACAGAGAGCTATCGATACCACTGTTTCAAACCTAGTTCAGACATTTAACAAATAGTTCAAGAAGTTACATAGCTGTGGTATTTCTACAGCCTTAGGACAACTAACTTGGCAGGAGAGGAAAACAATTTAGAAAGTTTACATATGTAAAAAGACAAGTCTCCAACTGTACCACGAAATCTATGCAAAAAATCTCAAAAAATAAATTATGTTACAATTAGAACTCGTATCTAGGATATATACTCTATATAGACTTATTTCAAAAGGGATCTATTTCACAATAGAGCTTTAATACACAAATTTCCTTTGAACTTTTCTTCTTTTTCTTAACTGGAAGCTTTCCTACAAACACCTTGAACCAACCACTAAAACAGACCACTCTCGGTCAGACTACACACTTGCAGATCTCAGAGCTATGTAGGATTTCCATCAAAAATAGTTTTTTCCTCTCAAACATGTAAGCCCCATATACTGTTAAGGGATCTGATAAACCAGAGTCTCATCACACCATCAGATAAAGAAAAACTTCTTTAAGTATTGGCTTAACAGCAGCTTCTAAGGGCATAGCTACATATCATTATTTAGTGACAAAGCCAATTTAAGCAACACTTGTTCTCCTTTTCTTACCCTGCATTGCCACCATGAACAGTCATGCCTGTTCAAGAGTTTGCACAGCTGTACTCTGCCTTCAGAAACATCTAGTTTGTTTGTTTATTTAAAAAAACCCAGGCCATTTCAACTGTTTGTTTGGCTACACTCTAAACAGACTATATGAATCGACAATATTGAAGAGTGGTAAGGTATAACAGCGTGAAGGGGATGTGGTGGGAACCACTTAAATTGGCTTTGCCACAAGAGTAATCATAACGTGGAACTGCACCCTAAGCGACCATTGCTGGGAACAGCAACTTAGGGAAGAGCAACATAGTGCTTTAACACTATTTGAGGAGATAAATGTCATTCCATCTTCAGTTTTATTTCAACTTAAGCTGGTAAATGGAATGTAATGAACCAAACTCACCTGTGTGTCTGTACTGGGATTCCAGTCAGGATCATAAATAATAACCCTGTCAGCACCAGTCAAGTTAACTCCAATGCCACCAACACGAGTTGTTAGAAGAAAAATAAATATGGATTTGTCCTATAACACAAGAGAGAATTTACTAAAGCAAGAATTACCAAAGTGCAAGATAAAAGAATCCAGGAAATAAAAAAAACTATCAGTTATTTGCACAGATGCAAAGGGAGCCAAGAGAAGGAATACATTTGCTTGTTTGCCTAATATCTCTTTTGAAAAATAAAAGTAGTTTGATCTAAATTTCATTTACTGTTGTCCAATAAAATTTCTTTTCCCCCTTTTCAACTGTGTTTTTATTCTTAGCAGAAAATCCAACTTAAGTGTGAAAAAAGTGATGACTTTTTTCCCCTCTCACAAAGAAAGTGGTTTCATTTGACTGAACTCCTCAGTTTTGTGTCTCAAACCTGAAGTAGTATGGTTAAAAACAGACCAAAAAGGAATGCAAGAGCTCAACCATACTCACTAATAGGCATTAGTGTGTGGGATGCAACATCTCACCTCATTATATCTTGTTATAAGGGGCTGTCTGGAAGCTATTGTTGTGGTGCCATCCATCCTGAGGTAGGAATAGTTTCTGTGTCTCACAAAGTCTTCAAGTATGTGCAGCATCTGTTGTGATGGAAAAAATTTAATGAAATCCAGACGTGAAGACTGAGCGACTGTCTGATCAAGCCATAAGAATTTCTGGTACTAACTGCAGTGCCAATCAAACAAACAAGATGACGACCAAAAACTTTCGAATCTTAAATGAGCAGAAAATTCATTAACTTAAGTAATTGGGGGGGGGAGTAGCTATTTCACTGCTGAATGCACAAGTGGAATGTTTGTGCTTGGTTTGAGAAGTCCAGAGCCATGGTCTCAAGACAATTAACCAGGTAAATGGTGCAGCATTCCAAGGGAATCCACGGAAGCAAGACAAAATCATGAATATATAGGGAAAACAAATGAAGGTCACTGTCTGTGCTACTGGCCAAAAGCACGTAATTCTGAGGATTAGATGTGCACATGCACTAAACAGAGTGAGCAAACTGACTACCAATTCTATCCTGAAACTACACAGTAGGGACAATAAATACATTCACCACTGCTTCAGCCTGGTATTATACGGGTACAATTGATACAAGCTTTGGCCCAGTATATTGAATTTGGGCAACACTGCCACAACACTCTGTCATTCCAGTAAAGCTTACTGAGCTTGGGAACTGGTCTCCAATTATTCCAAAGACATTAGTCATTTTAGTATTTTTTTCAGTAAGATGTTAATTTTCTGAGAAGGACACTATGAAAGTGGTTCTAATTACAAGTCTTGTTGGGACACGCACATGCACTTTTTTAGTTTAACTAATAACTAAAACTAAAAACAATGAGCTCATCTTACCTGTCTTGACTGAGTAAAAAACAACACTCTGTGACCTTGCTTGTGCCATATTTTCAGCAAGGATTCTACCACTATCATTTTTCCAGAACGTTTCCAATATCCAAACTGATCTGCTTCCTCCACTTCAGCATTTGGTACACCCTTCAAATTCCTGGGACCACCAGAGAAGAGGTCAGGGTGGTTGCAAATCTTTCTCAAAGCTACTAGTCCTGAGAAAATCTAAAGAACACAGGAGAAAAATATTTTTATTTTCTTGATAAATACTGTATCTATATGGGTTGCGGTTGAGAAAAATAAACAGCAATGGATTAATCCAGTAATCACCAAGAAGTTTGTTTTTAATAGTGGTTTGCTCTTTAGAGAAGCCAATGGACGCTAATACTCGTTTCATGGAAAGTTTTAGGAAAAATCAGTACAAGAGAAGGTCAATGAAATTTTATGTTCTTGTGAGCCTATTCTGGTGACAATGTTAAGAGAATTCTGCAACAATTTCCACATTAGCAAAAGCAGTCCCTAGCTGTAACTCCCAGTCAGATTTTTCGTACTCAAAAGGAAAAATTCCACCAAGTTTGTTACTTGAAATTGTGTCCTTCTTTCCAACCCCCACAATGTTAGCAGGTAACTTAAGACAGACCTTGAGGATAGCAAGTATACCCACCAGAATGCACGGTAACAAAGAATAGATGAGTAAACGTATTTGAACAAACATATGAAGCTGAAAATTAGCACTTTTGATGCCATGTTAGGAGGTTCTGTTCAGTTATTCATTCAATAATATTACAAGTGTTACTTATTTTTCTGATATAAAATAATTTTCATTGGGATAACTAAAATGGCTAGGCACTTGAAAAAACTTGGCCACTATAGCTTTGCGAGATCTGGAAAAATAAAAAAGTCAAAACAGTGGTTAAGGTCAACATCTGCTTTGTATGGCACTGCAATATACATGGCTGTACTGACCATACAACTAACTGGAGCCACTGGGGGTGAGGGGAGAAGGGATTTCACAGTTGACAAGACAAGGAAACATGGTAAATTACACATTAGAACCAAGACATATTACTTCTCCTCTTACAAACAATAGATCTGTATCCTGCAGCTAAAACGGGAGTGAAAAACGTCCACTGCGTGCATAAAAAAGTCAAACGGACCAGATGCGTGCAATGTAGGAGTCACAGGGAATAGCGACTTTTTACACAAGCAACAGTAGGCATTTGAAACTGTATTTCAATTACTGCTGTCATCCTGGCCACAGCAATTTCAACACTTACGTTGTGAGGATGGAGGCAAAAGATGTTGAAGTGACTAGTAATAACAAGGATGCTTGCTATTTGCTCTGCTGTATGTTAAGACTGTGAAATCATCAACTGTTGCATCATGAAGTTATACCTGAACTGTAATCTCAGGACAAATTACTCTTTTCCTTTGCTTCATTTTTGCAATTGGTTAAAAGCATGCATACAGTTACCTACAGCAGGTCATCCAACAAGCCATAATTTGTTCCCAAGATCACAAACATACTGCAAAGCCCATTCCATTCCTAGTTTTATCTGGTCATGCCACTACATATGGATCACTAACTCTACGTATTCCATGGAACATTTCTGAGAAAAAAAAGCAGACACCCACAAAAGCAGAACTGAGATCAGTGTGTTTGCTTCCCTCTCTGCTCAGAACCAGCTAGAAGAATGGGAAGGTCAGTCCATGACATTCATCAAACTCTACCTGCCATTAACCTTAATTAATGCCAACCTGCATGTCTCCATTGAGGATCTGGTAAACTTCTTTAGAGTTGATGAAATTTTGATAGACTTGACACTGCTCATCTGTCAAACGGCAAAAGAGGACCTACCAAAACAAACAAACGAACCGCTCAAGCCCAACCTGTAAACTCCAAATAGAGTGAAGTTTTACAATGTGCTACAATGAAGCTTCACAGATGTCTGACATACTGAAATACTAATTTAAAAGATACTGCATAGAAATCATTAGAAATAAAAAAACTTAGAATTTTTAGAGAATGAACATAATCATTAAGATGGGTTTCATGAGTTTTTCTGTGCCCTTTCCCAGTGGTTATTTTTTCACCTCAAATTGCTTTAATTTTGGAAGTGCTGCCATTTTCCAGTTTTAATGAGGTAACTGTGCAGTGTTAGCATTCTCTCAAAGCTATGTTTATAGGAAATGCTTTCCATTGTGTGCCTATTATGTCCCTTACAACTTGCAAATTCCTAGTACCTCATGGGAGGTTCTGTCATTAGCCTTTGAGTGTGAGCATATAATGATTTTTCAGATGGTCTGATGGGCTAAAATGGAACAAAATAACTTCCTCGCATTCTGCAAGGCACCCAACATTATGCTCTAAGTCGAACTTATGTAGTGCCCTGTGATTGACAAGAAAAAGAATCAAATTTGTTTAATCTGTTTATGATTGCATTCTTTAGAGTAAGTAGCCCAGACTCTTTAAAGTATATAGAAATTCAAGATTTGATTAAAAAAAAAAATCATTAGACTGCACAGCAGAAACTGAGTATGGCCTACTCATTTATTATGTACCTTTCAGCACTGTCTTACAAAGACTAGCACGTCTACTTCTCTTTTAGAGGGAGCAGACAGGAAGGAAAAGAATGAGGAGAGGACAAGAAAGCCTGAAGCACTGAAACCTGAGTGGCAGAAGAATCTAATAATTACTACAAGTCAATATTTGTAGGAATTTCAATTGTTTAAATAATCCTTTCAACCTCCTCTACTTTGAATCAAAATGTTTCCTAAAAAACATCCCACCGCTTTGTAGAGCAAACAAGTTTTAGATCAAAAGGCTAATATTCTGGAAATTTATTAGATTGTACAGGCCCAGCTGACTTGCAATATGAACAACTGCCATCAAGTATTTCTCTACTATTTGCTGCCCAAATTAACCTTTTTACGGCAGGAAACAATGTTAAAGTGTCCGAGAGATGCACCATAGGAAACACCCCACAGACAACTCATTTGTATGCACCTGTGACCTAGGAGGACAGGATTGAGCAGACCTGACTACACTTCGTATATCCTTTGTTTTTCAGATGAGAGTGTACTTGTATAGACCCTGCAAGACTATGACCATTTAATACACAGGTGAAAAGAATATGCACCTTGAAAGCTCTACAGCTTATCTTTAGTTAAAACAGCGTTTCATCTGCTATTAGCACAAATTATTTCCAAATGTCCATGAAAGATTGGATTTTGGGGAGGGAGAGGGCTCAGATCTAATAGTAAAGATAAGCAAACCTGTTCGTTTTTATCTGGAAGTGAAAGGCTCATTTTTACATCAGCCTTCATTCTTCGCAGCAAGTAGGGGTTTATGGTGTCCCGTAACACACAGGCACATTTGTATGCCGTTTTTACCTGAAAAAGGAAGAAAAAGTAAAAATTGTATTTTGGTTCTTGATATTAATTTTAGCAACAAACAAAATGCCATAATTAGTAACAGGAAAATCCTAATAAAATGAAATGGTTTATGATTTATGTGGATCTACAGTTACATATTCAACACAGCATGAATTGCAATAAAATTCACGTTAGCAACAACAGCATTGAATAAGTAAGTCTTCCTCAGATACCACTAATTTATCTTTCCTAATTTAGTGGACTTTAAAAGAGACCAGAAATGAGATATTTCTTTTAGAAACCAATCCAAGAAGTGAGTATAAACTTGCCCAGAACCAAAATCCTCATGAAAAACTGCTAATACATATACTGAAGATCAAAAAAGAAGCCTGCAGCAATGGTGGTTACGAGACAATAAGTGAAGATTAGTGCCCGCTTGAGACTATTAAAAAAATCGGTACAAGAAAATCCCCATGATCACAGAAACTAAAGGTCACTCTGGCCTTAAATGGAGCATATGGTTCTATAAAGGGTAATGGATGTGTAAGATGGGTATTAACTGTACATAATGGCTAAAGATACCTTCATTTCTCTTAAAGCAAAACAAAGAATATAATAAATTATTGATATGTAAAAAACAAATTGGCTGTCTAATTTAGTAAATTACTAAGCTTTAGACAAGGGAAGTACTTAAAGAAAATAAAACTTTAGAAATGTATGTGTGCAAAACATTACAAAGCATATTTAAAAGGATACAAGTTTATTAGCATTTATATGAAACTTAGTCTGCAGACTGTTATGCAGGCAATTTATCTATCAGCTAATCTGAAAAATGTTTAAGTAGTCATAAATACTGAGAACCACAACTACAAAGATTAATAGACATACTTATTCAAAATAATATTCCAAATAATTTTTGCTTTCAAAATTAAATAGTTTATCTACTTTCAGACTTCCAATACCTACTTTTTTAAAAGAAAACAGTTTTCAGTTTGGATTTAAGGATTCCTCTGTTGCATAATTTGCTGAAGCTTGGTATAAGACAGGGAAGTTCTATTTAAATACATCAGAATACAAGATCAGTCACCTCCCACCCCAATTTGCTTATCTTTGCATCAAAGAATACTTCTAATGATTTAACCTTTAGGGCTTTTGACAAGAAAATCTTGCGTATAAGCTATACCCCTGTATAAATGAAATGGTCTCATTCAGTTGAACAGTTCTTTTCACACATGCAGCAGTAAAACA